CTGTTAGAAAACACAGGAGTTGTAGGCTGCTCTCCCTGCTTCCCATGAATAATGGAGACTTCAGGCTCAGAGCCTTCTCCCGGCGAGAGAATCTGCTGGAAGGTAGTAACACTGCTCTGTTTACACTGGCGAGGTCTCTCTGGTTCCTTTTTCTTTTGGCTAGTGATACTGGCTCGCTTCTTAAAGTGGTAATACAAAGCTTCCTTTGCAAAGAAAATTTATTTACATAAAAATGAGCCGAGTTTTTAAAAGTATTAAGTAGACAACAATACGCACGGTCCAAAGATAAAGCAAAAAGCTGAGAGGGTGTTCCTGAGAGCAGCACAATTGGTGAAACACTGGCTGGTGGGATCCAGAGCTGCTGGTCTCACAGACTGCAGACCCACACCTCATTCTGTAAACAAAAAGCGAGGTACGGACACTTGCTCCTGGGGTCCGCCCACCCTTCCCTTTGGTCCTTGCAGAAAGACCATTCTTCATGGGTCTTGTGCTTCTGTGCGCCTTGTGAGCAAGATACCGACTTCCCTCTATCTCAGCAAGAATGGCTGGTATAGAGAACAGCCTTGGAAGAGACAGCTCGTCTCCAGAACAATGGGCAGGGATGCTAACAGACTTGGAGGATAAAGACGGTGTCTTGTTTGGAACAAATGTCAGCCATGCTTACTGCCTATTATAAGAGATTCGGGTTCCCTTTGTTCTTCTCCTATAACCGAACCCTTGCAGGTGCATTATGTTACCGGGCCTGCTCTGTGCTGCCCCGTGGAAAGAGAGGCTTGCACAAGTGGCACAAAACCGCTGATACTCTGGCTGCTGCTATTGTTGTTAAGTAATAAACTATTCTTTACCTCTCACTGAGGAATTTCAGGTCTTATACCCATATGAAATTACGGCAGATCAACTTGTTAGCTGGCAGGCAGCTTCCCGGTTCCTGAAAGTCCTCACCTCATTGTGGATTTCCTCTCCTTGTTTCAGAACCGCGGGCTCAAAGGATTTCAAAGAAGCATCACCACCGTCTGCCCCGTCACGGACATTCTGCAGAGCCACCTGGCAGCGCTGTAAGATATAATCCAAGGTTCCGGTGGAGCACTGCAGAGACAGAACCAGCAATCAAGATGAGGAGCAAAATTCCAGTTGACCATCGACTCGTCCTAGGGGTATCCACATTTGTCCCTTGTCCATTATGTTCACCTGTTGCCCCCACAGCTCAGCCCCTATTCAACTTAAGAAATACTATAGTGGCCGGCTCACTGGGCTCTGTGTTGCCAGCTTGGCCTCACTTGGGCCACTCTTCTGGCTGGTTTTCTTTCATTATATGGGCCTTATATCTCAAAACAGTGGGCTCCCTGAGGCTAAAGCCATGTGTGTGTATACACACACACACACACACACACACACACACACACACAGACACACACTTTTATTGGATATTTCTTTTTTTTCTTTTTCATTTTTTTAACGTTTATTTATTTTTGAGAGAGAGACAGAGAAAGCGCGAGCAGGGGAGGGGCAGGGAGAGAGGGAGACACAGAATTGGAAGCAGGCTCCAGGCTCTGAGCTGTCAGCACTCGAGCTCACAAAATCATGACCTGAGCTAAAGTTCGAATGCTTAACTGACTCAGCCACCCAGGAGCCCCTTATTATATATTTCTTTCTATGCATATTGCAGCATCTAGAACCAAGTACTAAATATAAAAGAAACTTAGTGAGTAGTTATTGGACGAATCACTAATTAACCAAGACGTCAAAGACACTGACTTCATTGTAAGTGCCCTGGACCTCACAATGGGAAAGAAAAGTAACCGGCCTGATCAGTTCAGTGGTCCACAAAATGGAACGGTAACGGCACACACAAAAAAGTGAAGTTATAAGCACAGGGCAAAGGACTCATGTTCCTTTTCTGCAAAAACCATAGAGTTCACGGCTGCAAGTCCTTGGTAGAACAGGTTCTTCTAATCATGGAGAACACGTGGCTCATGCCCTCAAGGCTTGTTCAAAGGCCTCACTTGGCAGCTTGGTGTGGGCAGGGGCAGATAGCTAGTTCGTCCCTCTCTGTGTCTGTGGGAGAAAAGCAGAGGTCAAATGGACAAACTCCTCCTCTGAATGACGTATGTCAGAAAAAAAGAGGATGCGGACGGTGGCAACGTGATTTCCTAGAATGATAAAGGGCTACAAATGTTCTTTAGACCCGGTGAGGAAAAGGTATCATGCAAGTGTTTTTATTTGAATACGTATAACTCAAACAGATGTCTCAGAACCTTCTAGTGCCCTGGTATAAAAATCAGTTGGGCGGCTACCGCCATTTTACGCAATGTGTCACGTATAAGCCTGGGAAAAACAAAGTTACGGTGACAAAAACAGAAGCCTGACTAATATGTATTTTAATATGAAGACCTCAAAGTGCCGGGAGCACATCGGCAGGCAGCTCCAATTTGCTACCCAGAAAAAACAAAAAGGGGCGCTGAGTCACCACTCACTTTTGTCCCTGAGCCACTCCTACAACCTCTTATTAAAAGACATTCTGTCTATAAACATGTTGTATTCACACCTTTACTTTCCCAAGTATCAAGTGACCTACATGAGAGGTTACAAAGCATTTATCCTGACAAAAGACTGGAAACAACCTGCATTTCCCATCAAAAGGGGACCCGTTAAATAAACTATGGTGGAGCCACATGGGGGACTTTTTTTTTTTTCCTGGGTGGACAGAGTTTTATCTGTTGTAAAGAGCCCACAATGAGGCCTATTTTTTGGCAGAGGTTGGGGGAACAATTTTATTGAGACATTATTCACATGTCATAGAAGTCACACATTGAAAGCATACAATTTATCGTTTTTAGTATATTCACAGTTAGGCAACCGTTTTGTTTTGTTTCTAATTTTTTTTTTAACGTTGACTTATTTTGAGAAAGAGAGACAGAGAGAGAGAGAGACAGAGTGCACAGGGGAGGGGCAGAGAGAGAGGGAGACACAGAATCCGAAGCAGGCTCCAGGCTCCGGGCTGTCAGCACGGAGCCCGACGCGGGAATCGAACTCAGGAACTGTGAGATGGTGACCTGAGCCGAAGTCGGACATGTAACCGACAGAGCCACCCAGCCTCCCCTAGGTGACCGTTTTCACAACTAATTTTAGAATATTTTGGTCATCTCCCCAAAACACACTCTGCACCCCTGTACAAACTCTGTGTCTTCTCCTCCCCATTCTGCCAACCTTTTTTTTAGCAGCTATTATGAATCAAGCTGCCAAGAACATTCATGTTTCCTTTTTTTTAGCAGCTATTATGAATCAAGCTGCCAAGAACATTCATGTAGAAGTTTTCATTTCTCTTGGGTATGGAATTGCTGGGTCATATGGTACTGAAAATCCTGAGGAAGCGTCACCGTGTTGTCCAAAGTGGCTGAACCATTTTATATTCCCTCCGGTAGCGCGTGAGGGTTCCCATGTCTGCACATCTTCCCCAGGACTTGTTACTGTGATTTTAATCATCGCCATTCTAGTGGGTGTGAAGTGATATCTCACTGGGGTTTTCATTTGCATCTTCCTGATGACTAATGATGTTCAACATCTTTTCATGTGTTTACTGGCCGTTTGTAGACCTGCTTTGCAGACATGTCTATTCACATCCTTTGTCATTTAAAAATATTGGATTATGTATCTCTTTAATTAATGGTTGTGTTATTCATATATTCTAGACACGAATACCTTGTGAGACAAGTATGTGAAACTACTTTCTCACATTCTGCAGTTTCACTTTCCACTTTCTTGATGGAACCTTTTGGACTATCAAAGTTTTTAACTTTGATGAGGTCCAATATATCTATTTTTTCTTTGGTTGTTTGTTCTTGTGGTGTCATCTCGGAAAAAAATCGTCTACTCCGAGACTTATATATTGATAAGCAGTTATCACCAAGGCTTACTGAAACCAAAGTGCAGAATAGTATATAGAGTAGGCTACCATTTGTATAAAAAATATCAACACATATTTGCTTGTATATGTATTAGGCATCACAGAAAGAAAACTAAGAATCTGATAACACTGGGTACCTCTGGGGAGAAGGAGCTGGTTGGCTTTAGGAGAAAGAGAGAGACTTGAAACTATTTATTCTTAGGTCCTTTTTAGGTTTTGAACCATTTGAGTAACTACCTATTCAAAATATAATGATATATAAAATTTAAACTTAAAAAAAAAAAAGATATTCAGGAGAATGGAGTTCTTCTGTTCCAACCGGAAGAAAATTAAAATCAGATAAAGGTCAAGAGCCATCAGACATAATCTAGTCACATGTAACCAAAAAACTAGATAGATTTCTTCTCTGATTAACTAAAACGAATTTCAGAACATCGCTTCCTTAAGATAGTCTGTTTCCTACATATTTTGAATAGGCAGAAAATTGCAAATCATTTTGTTTGGCACAGGTGAAACAAGAAAGAAGACATTTATAAAGTAAGTGAGGGCTATAATGCTGCATGGATTTTCCCCTCTTCTATCAAGGGAAACAGCAATGTAACTTTCATGTCAGAAAAAAAGTCTTTTCCCTCTTTTATTACTGAAAACAATAATATATCATGAAATAAGAATTTCTAAGTAAGATAAAAACATGATCCTGTCATCTTTCCCTATTTTTATTATTTTCATTGCACGTGAGTCTTTGTCCACACAGTTGTGACCAGTCAGTACACAACAGTGTGTATGCTGTTTTTCTCTGTTTGTAAGTATTCAAAACTACCATTTTCAATGATTGCTCATTGAGCTGATAATTTAATTAAGGAGTCATGTCTTAAAGTCATGCTTAAAGGCACCGAAGTTCTGCCCAACTTTTCACTACTCTTAATCACTCTGAACATCTTTGTATGTATATAGATATAAACATATATACACATATAAATATATACACATACATACAAATACGCATACACATACATACATACATACACATATATACTTCTTTTGAATGGTTTCCTAGGTTTGAGTCCAAAAAAATAGTGTTATGAGATCAAAAATAGGAGTATTTTTATGGTAGTTGAACACATCCCCACATAGTTCACCAAAAAGTATGCCGATTAGAAAGAAAAACTTCCAGAACTATATGAATGTATGTTTCACTGTAACTTTACCAGCATTGATCATCAGCAGTTCTGACTTTCCACGGAAATAAAAAATCACCTTAAATGATGAGTTTATAAATAAAATGTTAATTGAAACACAGCCACACTCCTCTGATTCCATATAGTTTCTGGCTTCTCTAGAGTTACAATGGCAGAGCTGAGCAGTTGCCTCAAGATCTTACGGCCCATTGGCCACGGTTTGCTGACCTGATCTACACTTCAGAAAGCAAGATAGTCACATCGTTCACATCGGATGTGTCTAATTAGTAAAAAAATATATCTTGTGGCTTGAACTGAAGTGCAGAGATTATAAAAGGCCTAGATCTGAGATACTGGTTTTCTCCCAATAGCATTACCATATATCCCCACCTCCCTATTTAAAAGTTAATTAACGCTCGCGATGTTGCCTAAAAATGAGACGATACAAATACAGCTGTGACTAAGCAGAAAATGCTAAACCTCAGGATATTCTGAAAGCACTGCTACTCTAATAAAATTGGTCTGCCTGGAAAAAAAGGAAATAAGGCTACAGGGGGACTGTTCAAACCGTACTCTGGCAGGCCCCTTTTGGAGGTCTGTGTAGGTACGGACTTTTTTTATGGCAGGAGGTGGAGGAGGAGAGTTTTAGTCCCTTATTTGCATTTGCCTGCTGGACTGCTCCACGGGGCAGCTCCAACCCAGCCTGTTCAAAACCGAATGCACTATCGTCTTCCCCTAATGTCTTCAACTGCCATTTCTACTAATGGTAACGGCATCCCTAAATCACCCAGGCTTGAGAGTTGGCCAAGAGCCTGGCACAGGGAAAGCATCGAATAAAGAGTTAATTCGTTCATTCTCGCATTCATTCTTATGTTCTTGCCTCCACTCAGACAGTCCTGCCGTCGCAACTTCCTGAGAGAACTTACTTTTAGGTCTCTAACATAAGCACCTGTGTGTCTTTTTGTTTGGACCTGTCTCCCCGACTCACATGCAAGTTCAACAAAGGTAGTGGCCAGGGTTGTCATGCTGATGATTCCATCTCTCAAGCCTGGAATGCTGCTGAATGCACAACAGGCACCCAAGTATGTACATACGTGTGTATGTATGTTTTTAATGTTTATTTTTTAATGTTTATTTATTTTTGAGACAGAGGGAGACAGAGCATGAGCGGGGGAGGGGCAGAGAGAGGGGAAGACACAGAATCTGAAACAGGCTCCAGGCTCCGAGCTGTCAGCACAGAGCCCGACGCGGGGCTCAAACTCACGAGCTGCGAGACCATGACCTGAGCCGAAGTCAGAGGCTCAACTCAGGTGCCCCTTGGCACTCAAATATTTAGATGAGTGAATAGAAGAGAGGAGAAAGGGACATGAGGAAGGCAGGAAAGAATGTCTGATGGGCTGGCTGGCATCTTGATTGAGTAGACACTCATGCCCGCTCTGTCCCATAGCAACGTGACCAGTTCACGAGAAAAGCTATGGACTTAACAAAAGACGTGCCACTGCCTTGCAGACTCAGTCTCAGGACTGAAAAGGTCTTGTGCTTGTGTTTCCCTGCTACTTTGTTGTATCCCTTCTGCCCAACTTCGCACCCTGATCCCCCTGTGGTATGATGAAAAGTCAACCTACAAAGCAAAAGCATAGATAACAAGTTTGGATACAAGGTCAACTTGTCGTCCTTCTCATGATTATTCTCCTGCTCTATGGAACCCTTCTTAACTGATCACTTAGTACCCCAGGGTGACTATTCAGAGTTTTTCCTCACCTCTTAGGTTACCATTCTGAACTGGTCTAATCAGCTGACCATCAGCCACTGCAAGTGGTGGCAGAATTGAGCAATAAAGTCTGGGTTAGGAACACAACTGGGGAGCTCAGAAATTCCTTGGCACACTGTAACTTTCTCCTTAATTTACATTCACATGCCCAGAAGCCTGACCAAAAAGTTAAGGGAAATGTAAATTCCCAACCATCAGAGCCAGTCACAGCTAACACATGCACAAGCACACAAATCCACCCCATTTCCTGCTGGCCATCTCCTGTCCTTGACCTTGACAGATACAAACCCCTTAGAAAATCTCTAACTAGGAACACCTGCCGATGATGGTTTACCTTCTCCAAGAAACATAACCCCAAAGAAGCAAAATACACTTATCCCGTGCTGTGAGTACACTTTTTTAAAAAACTGTATCCAACATAACCCAAAGCTGAAAAAGCAAGTAAATAAAGGCTCAAGTCAAGTTCGATGGAAGCAATTTTCCTATCAAATACTCTTCCAAAACTCTATGTGAAATTGCTCATTCCAACCACTACTGTCACATCCAATTAAGTTTGAAACACATTTTTATTTACACTTACCTCTGCCACTCGGTGGGTGGAACTAAATCGAGGTGGTAAACCAGCCAAAACGCAGTGTTGGTGGGTGGCATTGAGATCATCTGTAGGAAAAATACCAAAAATTAAAAAAAATAAAACCACACACACACGCACACGTACACACACATTTATTAGTCACTATAATAAACCATTCAACAAAAATACAACGTAAACAGTAAATCCGTTATTCAACAACAACAACAGCCAAGGAATTAACACCTACTTTGAATTCTTTAAACCATTAGCTATAACTGGGATGACTTTGTATGTGCGTAAGTATTACGGATAGACATCAAAACCATGACATGCCCAAGAGTAAAAGGGGATGTTAATTATTCGAGGACAACAAGTATAAACCAGGACGGTCTTTAGCAAACAGTACATACGGCTACCCTATTTATGTGTGGTCTTATGATGCCCTCCCACCACTAAGTTTACTATTTATGAACTTTCTCATGATACATCAAATTCTATCCATGCCTTTAGATAATAAGCCAATTTTTTTTTTTTTTACATTATTTGGGGTGGAACAGCTTTCATCTGAAAATCTGCCTCTTTCTCTCCCCAATCAAAATATCAATTTTGCCCTAACAATTTTCCAGGCAAAAAACCAACCAACTCAGCAGTTGCAAAGTTTTGGCACTCAGAACAGAATTCAAGCCTATGGATTCACAACCCAAGAATGGAGTAGGTGGTGAATTCACCAGTTGAAAAATAAGCTTAAAACCACATGCAGTGGAAGAAAACCAATGGCCAAGTTGCTGCATATTCTAAGAAATGATGCCACAAGTCAGGCAAAAAATCTCTATCACCTCTGCTTAGGACATCACTCCCTCTATTACAAAGAAGAGAACTGAACAGTACTATTCCCCAGCAGTGTATTATTTCCCAGATAGGCAACAGAGGCTTCTTACCAAGATACCAAGACCCACAATGATTTATACTAAAAGACAAAGACCACCACACCCCTTACGTATCAGGAAAATTAACTTCTAAACAAAATAACGGAAATGTGAAATGTCAACTGAAGGGCTCCTGCTTCTGAACATTCTGGAAGAACAGTGAGAAGGTCTGCCTTCCTACCTGAAGCAACTATTAAAGGGACCAAAACTAGGAAACAAAGGTTTCTGACACTGGAAAACAGAGAAAGATATAATCCCCGGGATAGAAAAATAAAATAGGTGAGCCCTAAAATTGCCCTAGCTTACTACCTGGAACAGTTTCAAAACCAGAATAGAGAGTGGGGAGTCAGACAGAACCCAGAGTTTTCAGTTTTCCTTCTTGCTGAGTTGCGAGGACAGAAACTGGAGCTTAGGAAGCCCAAGGCAACGAGGATATGTACAACAGAACACTGGAATAGAAGAACCTGCATGGACAGAAAACAAGCGGACATTGGCCGAAGGGTTCCTTCAAGTCTCTGGCTGAGCACTGACAAGGGCGTGTGTGAATGAAAACTTCCCAAGGACAGAAGAAGAAGCACCAGCAAACAATAGGCTGAACAAATGTCAGAGCTCACACAGGGCTGGGGAGGTTTTGTGTTCTCAGCAGCTAGAATGGCTCCTGCTACGTGAGAGAATGGATAGAGTCCTTGGAAAGGCATCACCTTAGTAGTAGGGCTATATTAGTTCTGCGTCAAAGATCCACTTGACGGCTTAAAAGCAAGCCTCCAAATGATTCAAGTTATTCCAAATAATTTAATTAGTCACTAGAGCAAAGTCCAACGCTATTGAAAAGAATTTAGCAAAATCAGACACCAAACAAAATTCACAGTATCCGGCATCCATTCAAAAAGTAACAGAAGAGGGGTGCCTGGCTAGCTTAGTTGGCAGAGCATGCGATTCTCAATCTCAGGGTTGTAAGTCCGAGCCCCACGTTGGGTGTAGAGATGACTTAAAAGTAAAACCCTATAAAAACAAAAAAGTAGGAGAGGAGATATGAAAGACATACATGACACATAGGTACATATAAGATATATAGGCATATATAGGTATATATTATATAGGTATATATAAGAAATACACATATCTTTCTTTTCTTTCACATATGTATCTTTCATATATATAAATAAATGAAATGAAGCTATAAAGATGAAAAATGTAGTCTTTGGAATTAAAAAAACACACACACACACACTGAATTAGATTAACAGCACTTCTGGCACTGCAAAAAAAAAAAAAAAAAAAAAAAAAAAAAAAATCAGTGACCTAGAATACACAGAAATAGAAACCATCCAAAACTGAAGCATAGAGAGGAAAAAGACTACAGGGAACTGAAAAGGCATCAATGACCTGGGATACTATTTATCAGTTTAATGTAAATGTAATTGGATTCTCAGAAGGGGGAGAATGATAGAAAAAAATATTTATCTGAAGAAATGATGGCCAAAGAGAAAAATCAGAACAAAGAACAAGGGCAACAAACAGAAAACATTAACAAATAAGGTAACTATTAAATCAATTATATTAGGGTTGCCTGGGTGGCTCAGTTGATTAAGTGTCCAACTTCAGCTTAGGTCATCATCTCATGGTTCATGGGTTTGAGCCCTGCATTGGGCTTTGTGCTGACAGCTCAGAGCCTAGAGCCTGCTTCAGATTCTGTCTCCCTCTCCTTCTGCCCCTCCTCGCTTGCGCTCTCTCTCAAAAATATATAAACATTAAAAAATAAATAAATTATATCAATAATAATTCTCAGTGTCAATGGAGTAAGTACACCAATTAAAAGACAGAGATTATCAGAGTGGATGCAAAAACAAAACCCAACTATACGTTGTCCACAGGAAATTCACTTAAGTATAAAGACACATACAGATTAAAAGTAAAGGGATGGAGAAAAAAATATTCTATGTTAACACTAATCAAAACAAAGCTGGAGTACCTATATGAATTTCAGACAGAGTAGATGTCAAAACAAGGAAATTATCAGGAATAAGAGGGCATTACATAAAGGAGTCAATCCTCCGGGAAGATACAACAATCCTTAATGTGTATTTGCCTTATAAGACAGAGTCAAATTATGTGAAGTAAATCTAATAGAATAGAAAGGAGAAATAGACAAATCCACTATTACAGTTGGAGACTTTAACACTCCCTATCAGACACAGAAAGATCCATTAGGCATAGAATTAGTAAGGACACAGGTGAACTCAAGAATACCATCCATCAACTGGATGTAACTGACATCTACAGACTACCTCATCCAACAAGAGCTGAATACACATTCTTCTCAAGCTCATATGGAACATTCACCAAGAGAGATCACATTCTGGACACAACACATACACACACATACACACACACACACACACACACACACCAAAATTTAAAAGAATAGAAATCATACAATATCTGCTCTCAGACCATAAGAATTAAACTAGAAATCAGTACCATAAAGACAGCTGGAAAATCCCAAAATACTTAAGAGATTAAGCAGCATACTTCTAATTACATGGCCAAAGAAGAAATCTCAAGAGAAACTTTAAAGTATTTTTAACTAAATGAAAATGAAAATACAACATCAAAATTTGTGGGATACAACAAAAGCACTTCAAAGAGGAAAATTTAATACACTGAATGCATATATTACAAAGGAAAGATCCAAACTCAGTAATAAAAGCTTCAATCTTGGGAATTTAGAAAATGGATAGCAAATTAAATCTCAAATAAAAAGAAAAAAATAATTAGAATAGAGATCAAGGAAATCAAAAACAGAATTGACGGAGAAAGTCAATGAAACAAAGCTGGTTCTCTGAAAAGATCAATAAAATCAATAAGCCTCTGTCCAGACTAAGAACAAAAGAGGAAAAACACAAATTATTAATACCAGAAACAAGAAAGGGAACATCACTACAGATCATATGGACATTAAAAGACTAATAAGTAATACTATGTATAGCTCTATGCCCACAAATTTGATAACAGAGATGAAACGGACCAATTCCTTTGAAAGACTAAATCTTCCAAAACTCACATAAGAAAAAGACAATCTGAATAGGCCTATTTGTACTAAAGAATGAATCAAAATTACTAACCTTCCTAAACAGAAAGCTCCAGGGGCGCCTGGGTGGCTTGGTCGGTTAAGCGTCCGACTTCAGCTCAGGTCATGATCTCACAGTCTGTGAGTTGAACTGGCAGCGATCAGGGGTATGCTGACAGCTCACTCCAGAGCCTGGAGCCTGAAACTCAATTCTGTCTCCCTCTCTCTCTGCCCCTCCCCTGTTCATGCTCTGTCTCTCTCTGCCTCAAAAATAAATAAATGTTAAAAAAAAAAAAAAAAACCCAGAAAGCTCCAAGCCTAGATGGGTTCACTGGTGAATTCTACCAACCATTTAAGGAAGAAACTATGCCTATTCTTTACAGACTCTTCCAGAAGAAAAAAGTGGAAGGAAAACTTCCTAATTCATGCTATGAGACCAGCGAAACCCTAATACCAAAAGCAGACAGATATTACAAGAAAAGAAAACTACAAATTAATATTCTCAAGAACATGGATGCAAAAATCCTCAAAAAATACAGTATTAGAAAATAGAATCCAACAGTGTATATTTTATATACTTTTATATACATCATATACACTTATATGCCACAACCAACTGAAATGTATCCACATATGCAAGGCTGGCTCAATATTTGAAAATCAATTAATATTTTGTCTCCTGTTTGTCCATCTGTTTTTGTTTACAAGGGCTACTCCAAAGAACAAATCAAAGCACACCTGGTGCAGGGTACAAAATATTACTACGAGTAGGGTAATAAAATAACCAAAGTCACAACAGCAGAGAGCACATAACAATCCCTGAAAAAACACCTCCTGAAGGGCCAGGCCCTGGACAGCATATGATCCTCCTTTAATATAGCAGTGCTTGCAGGTGCAGAGCACACAAGCTTTTAAAATGCATAAGGGACAGAAAACTAGCCAAAATGACAAAACGGAAGAATTCTCCTCAAAAGAAACTCCAGGAAGCAGCAACAGCTAATGAATTGATCAAAACTGATTTAACCAATATAATGGAACAAGAATTTAGAATAATACTCATAAAATTAATCGCTGGGCTTGAAAAAAGCTA